TCTGGGATGGCCTCCTGGCTTTCGGGCAGGGCGGACTGACCAGAGACGGTCCTCTTCCTTCAACAAATTCCCAAATGAAAAAGCTCCTTTTCTGCCTTCTAGGCACTTACCTCACACCCAGACCTTCTTGTTCACACAAATACCCACAAGGCTTCACGATTTCTCACAAGCTCTGGATTTTTCTTTCTGCCAAAGGTCCCCCGGTCACGTCCCTGGACACACTGCTGTCCACAACTTGGTCAGAGTGTCGCAGGGGGTCCCAGCCTCCGGGTCCTACCCTGTGGTTTCTGATTCTACTGCCTGTGCTGTTTGTTTCAAACACGCCCCCAGGTGTGTTTCGAAGTGCACCAGGTTTGGCACCCTCTGCCTTTGGCTAGAAAGCTCCGACCGCTGCCACCTCACGCCCGCAGCCCGTGGGCAAGCATCTCCCCTCACGTGGGAAAGAGGGCGGCCATCCCGCTCGCTGAACAGCTGACCTGGTCCCAGAGCCTCCCAGCTAGGGCACGGACGTGGGCGACGCGAGCGCTCCTCTGAGTTAAGCTGGTACTTTCCGTCTTCTGGGAGGTCGGGAGTGACAACAGAGAGGTCCTGATCCTGACGAGTCAGCAAAGAACATGCCTGTAAGGAACAGGAAGGTGGCTGCCAGCAGGGACATTGCTAACCGTCCCGTGTGACTCCTGTCCCAGTTCGTTCTTGGTGGTTCAGCGGCTTGTCACAAAACCACTCAGGGGCGCCTGGGGGGCTCCGTGGGTTAAGCCTCTGCCTTCGGCTCAGGTCGTGATCTCAGGGTCCTGGGATCGAGCCCCGCATCGGGCTCTCTGCTCAGCGGGGAGCCTGCTTCCCCCCTCTCTCTCTGCCGCCCCTCTGCCCACTTTTGATCTCTGTCTGTCAAAAAAAAAAAAAAAATCTTAAAAAAAAAAAAAAACCCACCCAGAAGTGAATCTTGCCAACTACAGAAATAAGCAAGTTCACACACAGTGGCCCCCAGATAAATCCTTTTAAAATCGAACTAAACGGAGTCCAGTTCGCTGTCGGGACAGAGATGGGCCTGAAAACAAGGCGCAAACCTGGTCCGAGACACGAAGTCATCTCGAAACCCCACATCTGCCGGATTCCATGAGACTCTGCACCCTGGAGGGGCAGAAAGGAACTCGAGGAGGAGAGGCAGGGTCTGCCTTTGTTCCAAAGCGGGACTTGTGCTGGGTAAGCGCGGGAGCCCTGAGGGGAGCTGGTGGGGGGAGAGGGCGGCACGACCACCTGCCAGTGTGGCCCTCGCAGAGGCCACAGGCTGCTGAGAAGGTCTCCCGGTTCAACCGTTTCAGGAAACTATGTGCAAAGCTGGCAAGATTCATTCCAGAAGGCCACAGTGGGGCGGTAGGGGACACTCTTCAAAGCTGGAGAGCCGTCACGAAGAGCCGTTGGGTCTTGAAGACCCCAAGGCCATATTCCCCGGGGGAAGGAGGCAGCTCGAGGGGCCCCGGGGCTGCTGAGGGAAACACAGAGGAAAGGGGATGTGGCAGAGCGCACAGTCCTTTGCACGCCACCTTTCTCACTGCTTCTCTGGCAGAGGTCAGCCTCGCAGATAGTTGTACTGTGACTGTCTTACCATTACGCCAAGGATGGCACGAAACTAGGACCTAGATTCATCAGAGCAAAGTTGATTCCCCATGAGCCTGACAGAGAGGGCTGCGGGCTTCCAGGTTCCGGGCTGGAGGGGAGATCCTGGCAAAAGACACTAGGAAAGGGGCATCCCGGCTCCTGCCTTGGTGCTAGGACCAAAGTCACCGCAGCTGCAGAGGCTGGAAAGGGGAGAAGAAGCACGAGGACGGGGGGCAGGTGTGCAGCTGAGTTAAAGTTACAAGAAAGAACGTTGGCCGTCAAAGAGGAAGCAGTGGACGTTGGGCACAAACTCTGGTTTTCTGTTTATTGAACTGTGAGCACATCTGCCCATACGGCATACATGTGTGTGTACATGTGCACGCACACACACGCATACACACAAGCACACACTGTGAGCACTTCTGCCCATACGGCATACATGTGTGTGTACACGCACGCGTGCACGCACACACACGCACACGCACATGCACACACAGTTCCAGCACTTATGCCAACCTGGCCAGAGGCCAACAGAGCAACCCCAGACTCTACAGCCTGCCTTCCCTCGTGTCCTCCGGAAAACAGACTGGAACTGTCTGGCTCCTGCAGGCTCCGTGTCCCGGAAATCCCACCACACTCCCTCATCCAAGGGGCTACTATTACACGGCCAGCCCGCAAGGCTTCCCACTCTCAAGGAACTGCCTAATGAAAGCCTCGTGTGTCAACTTCGTGTGCACAGGCATGCCTGGGCTCTTCCAGATGACCTCACCGTCGGGCAAACTGGCAAGGACCCCAGAAAGAGCAGGTCGGTGTGTGGGCCAGACCTGCTCCTAATCACAGACAGCTGGGGGAGCGGAGGCCCTGCCCACCCCCGCCCCCGCCCTCCAGACACCAGGCTCTGGGGGCCCAGAGGCTCCATCAGCCCACAGCTAAGAATCCAAGCTCCAGACCAAACACCCCATTTCTTGGCAGTATCCCCACCAAAATTTCTGCCATTCCACACGTTTCACACCAAAGAACGATTCATTCAGTACGGCTGGATGTGTGCGGAGAACGCCCGGTTACAGAAGCTAGAAAGAAAGGATATAATTAGGACCTTTTTTTTTAACAGAAGCTCAAAAAGCCCATTAAGCAAAAGACAGGGAGACACGGCCCGTCCACATCCAAGCGCAGCGTCCCGAAAATCCCACTTAGCAGCTCCAGTCACGGAACTCTTAAAGACACCCATTTCAGCCTCAGAATGGGCATCTGTCCCTGAGCTCTTGTCGCTCTAGGGCGATCAGTAAACCAGCAGCGCAATTCTTCCGACATCGCAGCTCTGTGTTCATGTGCTCCATATTAAACCTTTTGTAGGACTCAATAACACATTTAAAAAATTATAATAAATCAATCTTTTGTAGGCAACAGCAACCAAAAAACCCAGAAGAAGCTATGTTTCAAAAGGAATGTGTTTTTACCTGATGGCATCCCTGTCACCGTGAAGCAGCTGATGACCTCAGCTTTTTTTTTTTTTTTTTTTTTTAAGCTGAGCTTTTGTTAAGGGAATGAATAGAAGTCCCCTACAAGAGAACTGCTGAGTCCTTTTAAGGTCTGGTATGTTCTGCCTTTGGCTTGGGTAGGGAGGATGGCAAGTTGTAAATCAATGGGTAGAACTTTGGAAGCTCTTGAACAAAACCCCCCCACCCCATGGAGCTCTGCTCGGATCCTGATGGGTCCCGTGCACATCAGGGACACACGAGATGCCCCTGGGCCTCCGAGACCTCATGGACTCAGGGAGGATTTGCAACACGTAAAAACTCCCTGCGAGTTGAGCTCCACTGAGGGAATCCATAGAGACACACCATAGACTTGGAGGGAGACCCTGCAATTTCAGAGGAGTCACACCCGCAGCTGGGCGGGCCCCTTTCTGTTAAAGGTTGTTAACTCCATTCGACAAGGTTTTCTTACTGGAGTTGTGGGCAGAGAATCAAAAGCACAGAGTCCTCGTTCCGTAAACGGAAGTTTAGATTACGACTTCTATTATTTTAAGGAGGAAACTTTTTCTGGAAATGTATCTCCAAAATGATGATGGGGGTCCGCGGAGAACAGATTTGCTCTCTGATGTGTGCTCCGCCGCAGCTTTTCGGAACTATCCAAAGCAAGCCGCTAAACGTGAAGCAAGGTGACATCAGGCCTGCAGAGACACGGTGAGTCACAGTCACTCCGAGTTGTAAGGACAGGCTGGGACTGCTCGTGCCACTGAACACCCCTGATGAAACACCCCTTTCCCGGACCAGAAAATTAACATCCACGGCTGCACTTGGAGGCTGGCACGGGACAGCACGCACCACGTGGTCACCCTGATTAGCACCCTTCCAGCAACTCCGGCAAGACAACCCAGAGAGCCGGCTCCTCCAGTCAGCCGCCCGGCCAAGCAAACATCTCCCAACCACAGTCTTTCTGTCCAAGCGACTTCCTGACCCCATACTCTGCGTCCCGCTTTTTCCTTGTGTAATCTGTGCTCTACCTGAGAGCCCCAGTGCCCACCACTCTGGACCTCTTAGGCCTGGGATCAGGCTGCTTTTCACAGCGGGAGAGAGTGTGTTAGAAAAACAAAAAACAACAACAAAGTAAGAAAGCTTTTTCTTGGACCTTCAGCCAAGGTCAAATCTAAATGTCGGGAAGGTCACAACTGGTTTGGGACAGGCTTGGTGTTTTGCAACAGGGAAGAACCTTAAAGATATCCTGGGTCCCTTTTTAGAACTTTTAAAATACAGCGAAACCCTTTTCCCCAGTGAAGTTGTATACAGAAACCCAGCAAGTAAAACAGAGAGAAAATAAGCTGTTTTTAAACGCACACAATGGCATATGATTTGGCCCTAAAAAAATGACGTACACATAAATACATGCTATAAAATGGATAAACTTGCAAACATTATCTTAAGTCCAAGCAGCCCGTCACAAAGGACTCCTGTCGTAGGATTCCGTTTATATGGAATGTCCAGAGAGGAGACAGAAAGCAGATTCGTGGTTGCCTAGGGCTTGGGGGAGACGGGGATGAGAGGCGGCAGCTAAGAGGCAGAGTTTCTTTTTGGGCGGTGACACTGTTCTATAATTGATTAGGGCGTCGGTTTCCCAAATCAAGTAAAGACGCTAAAAGCCACTGAGTCACCCCGAGTCAACGGGGGAGTGTCGCGGCGCGTGCATTCCATCCCCAGGAAGCTGTGTGCGAGAGGGGGAGGAGAGATGGAAGGATCCCTGGTGGTCTTCACCGGCCAGGCCGCCTCCACTGTAAACCAAGACATGAACCCAAGCCTGTTGACCACAAGGGCAAGGCCCTTTAACGCCAAGGCCCCGCTGAGGAGCCGGGGCTCATCTGGGGGACGCGCCACGCTCCCGCGCTCCCGGGCTCCTGGGCTCACCGTCCATGTCCAGGCGCTGCATGATGATGGCCAGCTCCACCTCGCTCGGCATGTACCCCAGCGAGCGCATGGCCATGCCCAGCTCCTGCTTGGAGATGAAGCCGTTCCCGTCGCGGTCCAGAACCCGAAAGGCCTCTCGGATCTCTGCAAAGAGAAAGCAAAGAAAGTCGGACGGTCACACGGCTTGGTCCACTGCCCTGAAGTCACCGGCGATCCTCTACCGACGCGCCCAACGCTTCCTTACAGACACGAGTAAGGCAGAGCCCTTTAATCAGACAGAAGAGCGGCCGAAGAGGGACAAAGGAAAGAAAGGGGAGAAGGGGGAAGGGAAGGGAAGGGAGAGGAGGGGAAAGTAAAAAAGTAAACCAGCCCTGAGCATCCCTAAAGCACCACAATTTGACGGCAGTCACAGTGGAGACCTGCTCGCTGAGGACCCTTCCTGGGCAGGAGTGAGCACGTTAGGTTTCGGCTGTGAGGACAGGGCTGCCCCGTAACCTGGGCGCTTCGTTTACAGGAAAGGAGGACGAGATTCCCCTCCACAACCCCGTAGGAGGACGGGAGTTATGAGCTTGCTGCTTTTATTTTGTCCTCTAATTTACAGCAATTTCATGGCTATAAACAACCTCAGATCAATCAAAACATCATAAAAGCCCAAAGGCCTTTTAATCACATTTTCTCCCGCTGGCAGAGGACTCCACTATCAATAAGGCCGTCCCACTCAGCAGGTGATCGCCCCTCCTCCGACCCCAACCTGAGCTGTCCTGCCTTCCGCCAGCACCCCTCCCCCCAAGCCCCCCCCCCCCCCCCCCCGCCCGCTGGTTCTGGGTTGGCTGAGCGTTTCCAAACCCAACACGCGAGGCGTGGCATGGGGAATTCGAGGTCAGAGTCTGAAGGTGACAGCTGTCTGAGCACTGGACCTGGCTTGCTCTAACTTCATCGGTGAACCTGGTGCGGGCAGGTGTGGCCGCCGCAAACATTCGTCACATGTTCAACAAGGACCGGCGTCCGCACCTGAGGCACACGAAGCGAGTGTCCCAGAGAACCAAGCAGCCTGCTGGTCTTCCCCTACAGCCCAGTGGGGCAGGAGAGACCCACGCAGAAATGGACAGGCTCTCCTGAAACCAGCCCCAGACTCGGGCCCTCTCCCATTTCCCTGCTGCTTCTCGAAATAGCCCCCAGTACTCCCAGTTAACACCTGGAAACAAGCTTTGGTCCCTTCCCATTTGCACGAATTTCCCGGGGTTGCTGTCACAAACCCCTACAAATGTTGTGGCTCCAACAGCAGAAATTCCTCTCACGATCTGGAAGCAGAAGTACAAAATCAGGACCACGGGCACAGTGGGGACAGGGCTGTGCTCTCCTAAGGCAAGAACCTGTCCCTTGCCTCTTCCGGCTTTGGGTGGCAGCTGGCACGCCTCGGCGCATGGCCAGGTCACCCCAGTCTCTGCCTCTGTGGCCACGTCGCCTTTTTCTCCTCTGCCTGTGACCCTCCTCTGCCCTCCACTTCTGAGGACACTTGTGGTGGCACTTAGGACCGACCCAGATAACCCAGAATAAGCTCCCTCAACCTAACATCTGCAAAAGCCTTTTTTTTTTCCCCAAGGAAATACTTGCAGGTTCCAAGGTTGAGGACCTGATACCTCTGGGGCCCGATTTTCAGACGGCCGCACTATCCCATCTGGGACTGCCCCTGAATTACCCCGCCTTCCTCTTTAGGGGCCCAAATCCTGTCGGACCTTCAAGGCTGAGTCAGGGATCGTGGGTTCTACAGGAATGTCTTTGCCCACCAGGGCCAACATTCTCTCCCTTTCTGCTCCTGTCATTCCTTTCTCATGACACCAGCCCATCCTGTCTGAAGATTCAATGTTGGTGCAGACGTCACGGCTTCTCTTCGTCCGCTTCCTTCTTCTTTGTAGGAGGAGATGCAGACAGCTGTTGAAGGGGTCACGTCCTCCGTAAGCAAGGACGGTGCATCAGCAGCAAATCCACCATCGACACTGATTCTGCACGCGGGGTGCTTTCTGAGAACCGGTGTGGGCTCCGCCAGCAGAAGACCAGCCTGTGAGCCGCGACCCTAGGCTCCCGGCCAGGCGCATTAGCTCATTAGGGCCGCGGCCAAACCCTGAGGCCTCGGATTGTTCATGTGTAAAATGAGCTGGGTTGGCGCGAGGATCCCTAAGGTCCTTCCAGACCTTTTCTGGGGATCTGCGGACATTGTTAACGTGTTTAAGAGAAGAACAGGAAGCCTGTGTTCTCCTTCATACCCTATTAATCTACTGTGTAAACACCCCTCTTTTTTCCGTTGAGGATAAAGGAAAAATTTCAGTCTGGTCCTAATTCTGATTCAAGGGGGCTGTCTGTACTTTTAGGCTTTTCTCACCAATGAAACGTGCCCAAGACTCCCTCGGGCAGCCGTATGTTTTCCTACCAAGTCCCAGGTGGCCGGAAAGAGCTCAGAGCCACTGCCCAGCGTGAGGTCACAGCACACAACACACAAGGACAGCGGGGCAGAGACCACGGCCTCACCTGGCCTGAGCCCAGGGGCCCATGGCAGGGGGTGCAGAAGCAGGGTCTCCGGAGGTGGGGGGGTGTCAGCCCACAGGGAGGTCAGTCTGGCCCCACCCAGCAATCAGAGCAGGCTTCTCCCTGAGCCTCCGTTGCCCCATACAAAAATGGGTAGGGTTGGATCTCCTTCTAGCCTCTCTAGAACGGCTCTACTTCAGAGCTGGCAGCGGTAAAAAATTTCAGATAACAACAGGGGCCCGGCCTGGAGTCAAAGAGGAGGCCAGGGTCCTAGCGGGCCACCTGGACGGCCGGCTGCACACTGAGCTTGGGCCCATTGTCCTTTCCCAAGGCGCATCTCCACTCGCCATCCCTCCAACTCAGTCCTGAGCTCCCTGGCTGTTATGATCGCTCCAACAGGGTGACCCCCTTCTGCTGACAGGGTGACAGGGTCTGGCCTCCTTCCTGTGGTCCCCTGGCATGTGCCCTAGATCTCACGAATGAGCGAACCTATATCCTTACACTGGACACCCCGGAAAGGCCTCATCAAGGATGTGTGTGAACTTGGCCTGGAAATAAAGGCCTTGATAGGTTTGCCTCCTGCCCCCCTGCATCTCACTGCTCTGCTATTCGTAGTCACCTCACCCTGGGGCTGCTGGAGTCAGACAGAGCCCACCCCAGAACTGGACTGCAGGAAGTAGGCAGGCCAGCCCTGCTCTGGCCCTGCTCCAGCCCAGCCCAGCCCAGTGCAAACCAGCTCAGAGTTCTGTTTTCTGTGCAGGCCCCCCACCCCAGGTAAGTCGGACAAAGCTGCACTTCTCTGTCTACCCAGAATTTCTGCTCCTGGCTCCCAGGTAGAGAGTGTGTGTGGTGTGTGTGTGTGTGTGTGTGTGTGTGCGCACGCGTGCATGCTAGAGGCAGAAAAAGCTCCCTAACTTCATTTTCTTTCAAAATAACGGGGGGGGGGGGGGTTGTTGAAACTAAAAACCCATAATGCAGGCCTCTAGACATTAAATCTTTCCAAGGCAGGGAAAGCCCAGGCAAACGAGAAGCTTATTAGAAGGAAATGGGTCTTGCAGCCGGAGACATGTGATGTGTGCCTCGTTTTATTTTATTTTTAATAGCAGAACAGGGTGTGAGAAATACGCCCATAAAACCAGCGGAGAGAGGGAAGCAGGCCGGATCCCCTGGCCTATGGCTACAGGCAGCCTGCTGGCAACACGGAGGGGCCCTGGCCACGCTCCACATCCTCAGGGAGTGGGGACCACAGGTCACACTTCAGGAACACCCCTGTGATGCGGTGTGCTTTTTGCTGGAATGTACCCCCTCCCTGGGCTACAGCCCCTGGTTCTCCCACATCACATAAACAGGCTGTGCTTTTGGTCCCTGCGTCCGTCTCATGCCCCTGTCAGACAGCGGCCTGGCAATTCGCCCACCAGCAAGAGGCCTTTGCAGGTACAGAAGGAGCCCGGGTTACGGTGACAAGGGGCTGGCCAACTGTCATTTTGTGAGTCGGAGAGGAAGCATCCTAAGACACAGCCCCTGGCCAAAGGAATCCAGTCTCTGTGTACGGAATCTCCCAGAACCGAAGTCTGCATTCCTGCCGGGGTCTGTGCCTTGCCTCCCCGATGTTCTGGAGCCCTGCAAAGCCGGACTAGAAATCAACCCACTTCAGAGCCCAAGGGATTCACTTCTCACTATACCAGCAGGTCAGAGCCATCACCAGTACCACCAGCAACCCAACACAGTGGCCCCTAAGAACCAGGCTTCGGTTCCATGATGCTGCCTAGGGACACGGGCAATTCAACGGCAGAGGCACGGCCACCACACAGAACAGACTCGTCGGGCAGGCCGCCCCAGTGACGTTTGCCTCAGATGAAAACCAGTCACCAGACACCAGCCAGAGTCAATATTCGTTGGCCAAGGCTCTGGCCTCGAAGAATCAGCTGAAATTCACAGCACTAATTTGCAAACTCCAGTCGATAAGGAAGAGCAACGGGTTTCCTATCCCAACCCCTGCCAGATGCAGAATCTATTCAGTCTCCACCGCAGTGTTTGGTCTGGGCGAGGCTGCTCTTTGCTGATCCGAACAGTCTCCGGAGATCTCGGGACACTGGCCACTGCTGTGGCCGGGCTACTCTTGGCTAGTGGTGGTGGTCATCGTGCGGCGTCTCAAGAAGAGAAGGGACGTCTGCTCCCGCCTTGCCGAGGCCTCTCATCACAGGCAGTGGTACAAGCCGTGTAACGGTCCCTGGAGTCATAACCTTCCGAGACGCCCACCTTGCCTGCCACACAGGCACCGTCCCCTGCTGGCTCCGTGCAGTGAATGACCGGACCCTGGCAGCTGACACCCACCCGTTAGCTGGAAGGACGGACTCTGCGGAGAACCAACTCACAGAAAGGCGTACCTCCAACTACATCTGGGCTTCATTTCTCTCTCCCCTCTGCCTGACGAGTAGCATGATTCCCCTCTCACTCGTAGTACGTTATTTCTTCACTGGGTGATTAGGAGACATTATCCTGTATGCTACTGGCTTATGAAATATTATTATTACGAATTATAATTCCCACAGTGAACCTGATTAAATAAGTGATTGGCAAAGGTGATCTCAGCCTCTGAGCATAATTTGAGAATTATAGTC